TTATATCCCAGATAAAAAGGATCTTTTAGTTACTGCTAAATACAAAGCAAATACTTATCAGTAAAATTAAAACCTCAAGGTCCCAAACCAGGTAATAAAGTTTTGAAGAGATATCCTAATTCTAATAAAGACCTCCCACCCCAGTTTTAAAAGGACAGAAAACACGTATCAAAGAAATATGAAATCTATCTGGAAAACAAATCTCCAAGCAACAATCATCGTAGGCCACTAAAAGCCTAGTCATGTACAACGTTTTAGGTGATGTAGAAATTTTTGTCTCCATGCTCCTTTCAACTGACTTGGGAAAATACCACACAAAGAACTAAAACAGGCAGCAACAGGCGCCAAGGAAACGTGGCAAATGCGAACTGTAAGAAATTCATCTGGGATCACTACTGCCTGAGCGATCACGGTGGGCTCCGTGGAAATGGCGGGATGTGGTGCCCAATCACTGACGCCCTGGAGGAGTGGTCCCACTCCAGAGGCTGGAACCCGCGATGGCAGTGCTGGGAACCCTGTGGCCATCACCCGCCCAAGTACAGCCACTCCCTCGCCCCGGGTCCCCCAGCCCCTCTAGGTGGCCGGGGTCAGCGCCGGCCGCACGTGGGGCCGCCCGGGGTCAGGCCTGGCCCCGCTGCCACCTCACCTCCCGCCTGTTTCCCCCACTTCAAGGAAGCCGCCCGCCCGCTCAGCGAGCCGCCTCACCGTGACTCCCGGCCCATGCTGCCGACCGCGAGAAGAGCGGCGACCTTCGGGACAACGCGCAGGGTAACCGGACAAAAGAAGAGGCCGCGCCTCCCTCAGCTAGCCGGGCGAGGAGCAGCACTAACAGTGAGCAGCAGCTACAGCGGTGGCAGCCATCCGAAAGCAGCGAGCAGCCAACGAAAACAGGATGTGTTGGCGCCGGTGGCAAGAGTGAAGGGAAAAGCGGGCCGGAAGCGGCTATTTCTCCACAGCGCCTCCTCTCCGCTGGAGGCCGCACAACGCATCCTCTGCCGGGTTTCCCCTGCAAGCCCTTGGGTGTCTCTGTGCGTTCGTGAAGTGGAGGAAGGCGCCTTGGCTTTGCAGCCCATGTGAGGGTCTTTCCCGCAAGAGCCACCAAGGCGCCATAGGCATCCCTGAGTTGTCCCAGGACTTATACTACCGCCCTCCTTAACCTGCGCTAAGTGATGGTACAAACTCCTCCATTCACACTCATTCGTTTATACATTCATTCATTTGTATGTATTGTATGGTAGGTGCATGTCCTAGATCCGAGGAGCTTACAATATAGTGGATACAGACATAACTAAAACCACGAGCACATATAAGAAGGATTACAGCATGGGGAGGGATTCAAAGAGATCCCTGAAGATGTAACCTTTGAGGTGAGAGGTGAAGAATGAGAGGAGTTGAGGTGGTGGAGAAGAGGACGAGAGCTAAAAATATATTTGTAGGATTATAGTGGTTCTCAATATCGTCTGAGCTTGGAAGTTTAAAAAAAAAAATTCATGAATGGTGAACCTGGCTGGCTCATTCGGTAGAGCACGTGGCTCATGATCTCCAGGTTATGAGTTGGAGCCCATATTAGGCATAGATATTACTTAAAAATAAATCTTAAAAAAAGAATACATGGATGCATGTATACCATTCCCATATTCTGATTTAATTGGTCTGGAGTGCTTCCTGTGCATTTCTGAGCTTCTTTAGTGATTCTGAAGCACACTCAAGGTTGAGAATGACTCACCTAGCAGAACACACACTGAAATGTTAAGCACTGTTTTAGCAGAAAGCTGTAATGCAGTTGGAGAGAGGCTCTCATATTTTACGTACTTCTGTACTTTTTTACTTTCTTATATGTAAGGATGATAGAAAAATTCTAGATAATGACTGTGGTCGTTAACACATAGATGTATATACATTTGTCAAAATTCATTTAACTGTAAACCTTAATTTTTATTTTAAAATTTATTTATTTTCAGAGAGACACAGACAGTGTGAGTGGAGGAGGAGCAGAGAGAGGGAGACAAGAGAACCCCAAGTAGGCTCCACACTGCCAGAGCAGAGCCCAGCAGGCGAGTGCTCAATCCCTCCAACCATGAGATGATGACCTGAGCCAAAACCAAAAGCCGATGCTTAACCAACTGAGCCACCCAGGCAACCCTATTTTGTTTGTTTGTTTGTTTATCTATTTTTGAGAGAGAGAGAGCACACAGAGAAGGGGAAGAGACAGGGAGACAGAGGATCCAAAGCAGGGTCTGCGCTGACAATAGAGAGCTCAATGCGGGGCTCCAACTCACGAACTGTGAGATCAGAAGACAGACGCTTAACCACTGAGCCACCCAAGCCTCCAAACTGTAAACTTTAATGTTTTAGGGGACCCTGGGTGGCTCAGTCAAATAAGCGTCGGACTCTTGGTTTCAGGAGGTAGTCCAGCCACTATACTTTGCTTATATGTAGGCAATGTAACAAGGGTGAGTTTCAGTCTAGGAAAAACAGGAAACCACTAGTGACTTAAACACAGAGACCCTGAGAAGTGGTCAGATTCTGGATGTATTCCAAGCAGCTCTCCAAACACGACTGATAAATTGAATGTGAACTGTGAGGGAAAGAAAGGCATAAAGAGGACAATCAGGAGGTGCCGGGGTCCGACTCTTGATATTGGCTCGGGCCACGATCTCACACTTGGATCGAGTCTCGTGTTGGGGTCTGCACGAGCATGGAGCCCGCTTGGGATTCTCCCTCTCCCTCTCTCAAAGTAAATAAACGTTAAAAACAAAAACAAAAACAGGACTCTCAGGTTTTGAACAGAACTACCGAGGGTCGTGGTGAACTTGTGGAGACAAGAAAGGCGTGGAAACAGATTAGGCAGGGGAAGGGGAAGAAATCAGTGGATCTGTTACAGTAATGTGATGTTGGAGATGCCTACTAGACATCCAGGAGGTAACGGGCACATAAGGGGATACAGGAGTCTGGAGTTCAAGGGAGAAATAGAGGTTGTCTGAGAGCGAGGGGTCGCAAGCATTTAACAGTGTGGTATTTGAAGCCAAGAAACTGGATGAGCCCATGCCAAAGTTAATGTTACAGCTGGAACAGATTTTTTAAATCATATACTTGAATTTCTTGATTTTAAATGAGGAAACTAAGACTCAGGAAACAAACTTAATCCTACGTCACTAATCTTTTTGGAATCTAAACTGGAAGCAGAAACCATGCATCTGCTACCTAGCCCAGAGCTCTTTTTAAAACAGTGCATTTCTAAATCACTTTTAAGAGAATACAATCATGTGACAATTCTGATGGGCTTTTAATTTCACAATATGTTTATGTTAAGTTCATAGCAATTCTGTGTCCCAGAAAAAAACTCTTTTAACTATTAGGACAGGTAAAAGAAGTAATTATAGTCCAGTATGTCTCCAATACATCACTTTTAACAAAATGCCCTGGCTTCCAAAGCAGATTTTGATTCTAAGTTCATTTTTTTTAAACTATTATTAAGTAATCTCTACACCCAACATGGGGCTTGAATTCACAACCCCAAGACCATGAGTCCTATGTTCCTCCAAATGGGCCTGCCAGGCACACCTAATTAACCAGTTCTAAGGGTCTCATAACCTTCTTACTGTTTTTAGTACCAATGGTGGTGCCACACATCCATTTACACAACTAATCAGACTATAAAACTATTGGTTGAAGGTGTCACTTTTTCTTTTTTGTTTAATCTTTATTTATTTTATTTTTGAGAGGGAGAGGGAGACAGAGAGAGACAGAGTGTGATCAAGGGAGAGGCAGACACAGAATCTGAAACAGGCTCCAGGCTCTGAGCTGTCAGCACAGAGCCCAACACGGAGCTCGAACCCACAAACTATGAGATCATGACCTGAGCTGAAGTCAGATGCCCAACGACTGAACCACCCAGGTGCCCCATAAGGTGTCACTTTTCAATCTAGGTTTTACTCATATACATTTCAAGTCCTTGAAATGTCTAAAGTAAAAAATTCTTCATTATTCCCACCACTAAGAAACTACCATTTCTGTTTGATATTATTCAACATACTTAAGCAAATTATGACGGAGATGCCAACTGGCTGAATAAAAAAAAGGGGCACCAACAGACACAGATGTCTTATAGCTAGCTCTTCCATCTGAAGTAAATTTGATAATGATCTACAAGTATTAAAGCTTGGCATGTGTCAACCGACTGAATGGGGCCTTTTTTTTTTTAAAGAAACAAAAGTAAACATGTACAATTTAAGACCACTAGTGTATTCCTAGGGATTGGGGGGAAGTGACAAATCCAAAGATGTTTTTTTACTCTTGATACTGGATTCATTATGGAATCAGGACGAACATGTGCTCATCATCTTAGCCTAAGTCAGGGGGACACACTTAAATTATTATCCTTATTCTCTATTATTCTGGTTCAGAGTTAAATGACAAAAAAATGAAGATTCTGACACTAATGAAAAAAAAGAAGGGTATATGTTTTTGAGGTTGCCTGATTCAGTCAGAGGGGCGTGCAACTCTTGATCTTGATGTGATGAGTTCGAGCCTCACTCTGGATACAGAGATTACTTAAATAAATAAAACTTAAAAAAAAAAGGTATATATGTTTTTAATTTCACAAGGATTAATCAAATAGACCATACAAAAATCTTTAAGGAAGTGTAATACCAAGCAATATTAACACTTAATGTTTTATAACCTTCCAAATATGACAGTTTTCAAGTTAGTTAAAAGGGTATCTATGATATTGGGTTACATACCCAGTCAATTTTCAAATTCCATTTTTATATATACCAATCATGCTGTTCTAGTTTGCTTAAAAATCTTAGTTCTAGAAACTGAAAACTCAAAAGTGAAGATTTCTAATTCTGAGTTTGGTAATAAAAAATTCTCATAAATAAAAATTAAAATAAATATCCTCATAAATACCCTCGAATTTCACATGTATGAATGTTAATCACTTCCTCTATTACTCCATACTTATGCTGAAGTAAAAATTAAGACACTCAGCAAGAAAAGATAAAATTGGCTACCTTATTCAGCCCTTTTAAGTTAAAACATGCAGACTTAACATAAGACAATTTAGTTTCTTCCATTTTATTTTTAAGACGGCTCCATTTCTCAGGACAGAATGACACAAATACACGTCACAGCCCATGGGGTTGGCTGAGACCATGTGCATCTGCTCTTTTAAAGCAGTAGCTCAGCTCCCAAAAGAGGAATTACAAATCTCAGAAGTTAGAGAAAGGTAGAGACTAGGGATTCTACTTAAACAAGAAAAGTCAATTAATGACCATAGTAGTCTATTCTTCACATCAGTATTAATACAATACTCAACACTTTTAAATCCGGGAACCTGCCATTCCATTCCTAACCAGATTTTACAACCCTATAAAGTAAAAGAAGGACATAAAGGTGTAAACTGATTTGCCTCTTTCAGAGACACTGCAGTATAGTTGAGAAGCTGCTTGTTTTTTTATAAGCTTCTCCTTCTGTGTTCTTCAAGCTTCATGGTACTTCAGAGCCCCAGTAATTGAGGAGTTCATGACAAAAGATAAACGTGAAAAAGTAGACACAGAGATCTGTGAAAACTTCGCCCATTTTGCTATAGGTATCCATCGATCGATTTATCACTTCAGCGGGAATTCCAGATAAAAGAAGTGCAGCTGTTAGTACTGTTGTCTTTATCTTCTTTTCACCCTGTACACAAAAAGACTTAAATAAATCTTACAGCTTTCAAAAGACGACTTAAGCACTATACATACATTATCAGTGCTGCTATTTTTGCCTAAATGATTCAAAACTAATAGTTTTTAACTAATAGTTTTAACTATGTATTAAGTTTCAATACATCAATCAGTAATATTTACTAAGCATATAATGGGTAAAGCAGCGAACTGCTAGGCAAAAGGGGAAAGACACCATACATGCTATCAAAGATGAAAAAAAAGTCTTAGAGGCAAGATAAAAATAATTTAAGATATATACAACAGCACAGGACAAAAACAGGAATAGCATGGGGCGCCTGGGTGGCTTAGTCAGTTGAGCGTCCGACTTTCGCTTAAGTCATGATCTCACGGTTTGTGGGTTCAAGCCCCGCATCGGACTCTGTGCTGACTGCCAGCTCAGAGCCTGGAGCCTGCTTAAGATTCTGTGTCTCCCTCTCTCTCTGACCCTCCCCTGCTCACGCTGTCTCTCTCTCTCTCTCTCCTAGAAATAAATAAGAAACATTTAAAAAAAAAATTAAAAAAAAAAAAAAGCTGGAAATCTGGGCATCATCTTAGATAACTGCTCAGTGAATGGCATGAATAATGTATAGCACAGTGGCTCAAAGAAGATAGAAATTAGTCCAGGGTTACATGCATAAAGAAAGCACAGTGAAGGATTTCACAAGGAAGTAGAATTGAAAATTGAAAACAGGCCTTCAAGAATGAGCAAGATTTAGATGAATAAAAATGAGAGGAGAAATGTCATTGTAAGGAAAGTCTCATGACAACGAAAGCCTGAATAGTGACAGCTATACTTAAGGATGGAGTTATTTGTGACAGAATCATCAGAACATTCTGTAGAGCCCCCACCTGCCATGCAAAGCAATTCACACTTGTTACATATGCAGTAGCATATCACTGAACATGTATTCCCTGATAAAAATTTTCTTGTCTAATTTTTAGCAGATTCAAGGCTGAATTTTCCTTTTTTTTTTTTTTTTAGGAGTACTGTTGTTGTTTTTTTTTTTAATCTTTATTTTTGACAGAGAGAGAGAGAGAGAGAGAGAGTGCAAGCAGGGGAGGAACAGAGAGAGAGGGAGACACAGAATCTGAAACAGGCTCCAGGCTCTAAGCTGTCAGCACAGAGCCCGATGTGGGGCTCGAACTCACAAACCGTGAGATCATGACATGAGTCAAAGTTAGATGCTTAAATGACTGAGCCACCCAGACGTCCTGAGGCTGATTTTCATTTACATTATCAATTTGGTATCAACAAACCCAGTCACATGATTTAAAAAACTTTTTAAATATAAAAAGCAATGGCTACCCAAGAGGAATCAGAACCTATGTCCCCAAAAGGATCCATACAAATTCTCAGCTGCTTTAGACATAATAACCAAAGACTGGAAACCCTCCTACATTCCTATCACAAATAACTGCTGTTAATAGTTTCATGTAATATTTTTCCAGAGTTTATGGGACTCTTGGTTGGCTCAGTTAGATTGTGCAACTCTTGATATCAGGGTTGTAGGTTTGAGCCCCATGATGGATATTGAGATTACTGAAAAATAAAATCTTAAAAAAAATCACAAAACTTCAGTGTCTTCACACATATACAAGCAAAATCAAATATATATTATTCTCCCCCTTTTTATGAAAAAAGTAGTATACAATAGATGCTATGCTGCACTTTGTTTTCTTCTCTCATTATTTCTTTTTTTTTTTAAACTTTTTTTTTTAATGTTTTATTTATTTCTAGGAGAGAGAGAGTCTAGGAGAGAGAGAGAGAGAGACAGCGTGAGCAGGGGAGGGTCAGAGAGAGAGGGAGTCACAGAATGAAACAGGCTCCAGGCTCTGAGCTGGCAGTCAGCACAGAGCCCGACGCAGGGCTCGAACCCACGAACCGCGAGATCATGACCTAAGCGAAAGTCGGACACTTAACCGACTAAGCCACCCAGGTGCCCCGTTCTCTCATTATTTCTTAACGAGCTTCCATTATCTATACACTAGAGCTTCATCATTCTGAATGGATATGCCATAACTAAATGAGTCAATTTACTATTTTTTTTTGTATTTAAAATATTTTTATTTTAAGTAGACTCGACACCCAACATGAGGCTGAAACTCACGACCCTGAGATCAAGAGTCCTATATTCTACTGACTGAGCCAGCCAGGCACCCTTAATAAGTCATTTATTAGAGATATCCTGTTGTTTCCAAACTTCCCTATTGCAAAGAAATAATGAGCGTTTAAAGGATAAATTTCTAAACAGACATTTTAATTAAAATTACTTTTCTTGGGGGCACCTGGGTGGCTCAGTCGGTTAAGCATCTGACTTTGGCTCAGGTCATGGTCTCACAGTTTGTGGGTTTGAGCCCTGCATCGGGCAGGCTCTGTGCCGACAGCTCAGAGCCTGGATCCTACTTTGGATTCCGTCTGTCTCTCTCTCTGCCCCTCCTCCACTCATACTCTGTCTCTCAAAAATGAATAAACATTAAAAAAAAATTTTTTTAATTACTTTTCTTGGGGTTGGTATCAAATATACATTTATATCACCAAAAAAAATTTAACTAAATTTAAAAATAAAATTACATTTCTTTCTTCACTCTTTTACTTTGTATATATGGCCTGTTTGACTCTTCATAAATATATTTCAACCTCCATTCAAAATACACACGAGGCGGGTGCCTGAATGGCTCAGTTGGGTAAGTGGCCAACTTCTGCTCAGGTCATGATCTTGCAGTTCATTGAGTTCCAGCCCCGCATCGGGCTCTGGGCTGACATCTCAGAGCCTGGAGCCTGCTTTGGATTCTGTGTCTCCCTCTCTCTCTGTCCCTCCCCCCCTCTCTAAAATATACAAACATTAAAAAAAAATTTTTTTTAAATACACAAGGTCTATCACTGCATTACAAACAACTAAGCAAATGATCAAGTACTCGTTGTTCAGCAAAAAACTCATACAATACTGAATCACATAAGTGAGGTTATTTTCTCCACCAGCCAAGTCCCATAAAATTGTGTATACATTTGTAGGTAAGCCAACTAAGTAAGCAGTGACACTCTCCATGAGTCTGTAATGCAGTTTTGGCCAAATATTTCTTGCAAATACCAGGCCCTTGACATCAAGATAAAGAGCACTGTTATTAAGCACCTAGTAAGGAGCACAGTAAGATAAATCAACCCATCTTAAAATTAATTTCCTTTATTACAGACAAAATGTGTTACTAAATTCCCTAAATAATTAAACTCAACACTTTCTCAGACAAGTACTATTCAAATTCTGTAGGTAAGTTTTTCACCAGTCCATAGTAGACCGGCATTTTTATAAAATATGATAAAAATGTTATGGCAATTTCAAATTGCTAACAAGTTCCTAATCACTCATTTTCTGATCTTAGGTCTTATAAATAGACATAAAAGTTTTAAGGTCAGCATTGGTGGGACAGTGAACTTTTAGTAGCACTGATTTAGACCATGAGGATGACTAATTTTTAACTCTTAGAATTATGTAACCATTAATCAGTCTAAACACATCAACCCAATTTAGAAAAAATTTTAATTTACCTTAGGAAAATATTTGTATAGTCCCATGTATGCAAGTTGCAAAGTAAGAAACGGAGCAAATATGGACTGTGAAGATAGAAGATAAAGTTATGTATTTTCAACATTATCATTCAAATCACAACAAATCAAACTAAACTAACAGCAGCTGCAAAATTCCAAGCAAAAACAAGGTAAAATCAATACTTAATTTTAGTGGCTGAAAGCAGTCTTCTTACTGCAGAAGGGTGAAAAAAAGGGACAAGATTTCCTTATCATAAAACATGTTTCTCAAGTCACATTCTTTTGATGTCCCCCACAATGTCCTCTCCCACAAAAATTTATTCTTTAAATGATTAAAAGTATTCAATGGTGATAGATGTATAACACATCATGCAGTAACATCTGTCTCTTCTAGAGGTAACTAACTGACTATTTGAAAGCACACATAAAGTCCCAGTACTCAATAGATACCATGCATTCCCAGACTCTGGGGCAAGAAATTAACTCATAAACTATATCTCTGGCATTCAAATGACAAGCTATTCTTATTATGGATAAAATGGCATGGTTGTCTTGTGTCTCTCACAATAAAATCGAAAAGATCAAAACAATAATTCATTTATATTGATTCCTAAACGTAAAAATATTATGGAGCGAAGGAGCAAACGCCACCAGATGGATGTAAAATAGTAAGAAAGAGTAGCTGAAAATCCGATAGCAAAAAAACCCCCAGAAAACAAAAAAAACCTCACATAAAAATGAGGCACAAAAATAGGACCTAACTTGAAACACGTGAAAGCACAGAGCCCTTTCAAACAAGAGAAAGTAGCTACGCATCTCACTAAGTGCTGAAAGCTAGTACAATTTAACATCAGAAAAAAACCTGTAGAGCAGATTGTCATTTAAGAAAAAACGTGCATAAAGCTGATTTTAAGAAAGTTTTTTGCCAAATAACATTAACTTTAATTATCTGAACAATTTCCTTATGTAACTGGTAGCTGGTAGGTATTCTTTAAATGTCTAGTGAATGGAAATACTTCCAAGAGCAAGACATGGAGCTATGAGCTATGCTTTTCTTCATTTCTCCTGGCACATTCTGAGACAATAAAGACGGACTGCCATTACGATGATACTACCACGTTATAAAATGCTGAAGTGCTTTCTGAAGACAGGAAACTTATGTGGTTCAGGATTAAAATTAAATTAAATTAAAGCTCATGTTCAGAACCATAGGAACTACATTTTAAGGTTTCAAATTATTCTGAAAAGTGGTAATTAATATACAGTATATGTAGACAGTTTTTACCCTTTGGTTTTGGAAAGAAACCAACCCGCTGTCACTTAGCTACGTGACCTTGGGCAAATGACTTAACCTCTGAGTCTTCATTCCTTCATCTATAAAACACAGAGTTAAATGATACCGAGTTCAGAAGGATGAGGTTAAATGGGTTAATATATGTTAAGCACTTAGAATACTACCTAGAATACAGAAAGGGTTAAGCAATTATTATTGGGCTCTGTATTTAACCAGGACATCCCATCTATATCTAGGTGAGCAGCAGTTTATAATATACCTCCAAAGAGCCACATGAATCTGGTAAATATTAATCTTGGCAATCAATCCCATGGATTAATAGCACTCGTTACATAACCAATTTGCATGTTGCATTAAGTTTCTTACCAAGTACTTGCAAACAAAAGCTCTGACTCCAAAGGCAAGAAGAGCACATCCCACCAATCTAAATATTCTAAAAGAGTCAAATTCTTCTGCTGTATTTCCATCTTCTTGATTGGGTTTTTCACTAATCAGCTGTTTCCGTAGCTTCATTGCTTCTTCAAATCTGGAAAGGTACTGTTCAAGGCCATGGCGAGAACCCCTCTGGACAGTGTCGGCTGTCAGGTCTCCTCTGTTCCGCTGCCGGAGCTCAAGGTTTACATCATTACTGCACTCTGGTGGTTTAATGAAAGAGTCCAATCTGTCTCCCAGTTGAGTCCCCTTTACCTCGGCCACATCACTTTGCTGGTCAGTTGCTCCTGTACCAACCGAATCGCCCAGCACGACTCGCTTTGAAACTGAAGGGATGGTGAGGGAGTTCAGTTTGTCACTGTCCTGCTTTGATTTTGTTTGACCTTCTTCTTCTGAGAAGAGAAATTTAGAAGCCTTATGTAGTATACACCAGCGAACACCTTTCACATTAAGATGAAAAAATATGCTGCTACTGGAAGAACTCTGTAGTCTCCGAATCTAAATTCCTATTCTGCATAAAAACATAAACTAGTTCCTTCTTCTACACACTCAAAATATATTACCCCCGAAAAGACTACTCCTGCAAAGGACACGTCCCAATGTGGGGAGTAGACGATAAGACTAGCAGACAAATTGGGAAAGATGGTCATGGATAAAGCCCAGGTTTCCATTGACAACGTATCCCAGAAGTATGACTGCACCGCCTGCTCTAGCTTATCTGGTTAAAAACATAAAATTATTAAAGCTTTTTAAAATCTGTATTTTAATATTACAGTTCTGAATCCAGAGTCCTGTCAGCATAGGGTGTGGCATATCCTACAGCTACTGTTTACGTAATCCTTCCACTGTGGTGATGGAGCCATTAGTAGGTACTTAAGCAGTTTTAGGATGCTGTTCTGGTTTCAATCCAGAATGCAACCTTTACTGACAGAATTTTCAAAGCAGAAGAACAAAATATAGAATGTACCTCGAGAAAGATAATAAATGCTTTGGGAAAGAATAAATATCCTGCTTTTAGTTATTAAAGGGAGAAATGTGTCTTCTAACTACTGTTCTAGGAGAATCTGAAATAGTGCTTCTTACCTTTCCTAGCAGTTCTGGCTGCAAACCTGTGAACCATCTACAAGTTCAGAGCTGTCTACCTAAAGCCCACAGAAATCACAAAGATTTAAGCAGCCTGCGAACAGTGACTAAGCGTCAATTACTACAGGCACTCAATGGAAACTTAGAGAACACTAGCACATATTAACTGTTCCATAAATATTCACATGAAAAAATTTTTTAAGAAATTCATTGTACATGCACCAGGGGAGAAATGAGGAACTCTCTTTAGGGTTAAATGCAGTTCCTGACATCAGTCTCAGCACACTAACAGGCACTGAGGGAAGACCTGGGGTGGGCACGTCCCACTTGTTGGGGTACAAAGAATGGTCGCTCCAAATTTATTCTCCTGTCGTAGAAAGCCTGTAGATGACATGTTGAGAGCACTGAACACAGATACGAAGATACCACCATAAGGGTCCCAGATCCACGTAGGAAGGACTAGGCGGCAGTTCAGCAAACACAAGCTCCCCTGTGCCGACAGGGTAACAGCGAAAGGCAAAAGAAGGTAGATGCTGGGGAAGGCAGTGGAAGGGAAAGCATTTGTAACGGAAAGAAAGGAAAGTAATCTACCTGAAGAGCACAATAGAGCAATGTACCCGGGGGAAAAAATATGCGCCCTTCAAGAGAGGGGAGGGCGTGGGGAAAGAAGGGGAAGAAGGGGCTGTAACTGGGCAGAGGGCACCATGCCTAGGGACTCGGGAGCCAAGGCTTCGCAACCTGGGGCGGAAATAGGGACAACCTCAGATTGAAGCCTACGGAAAACCGAAAAGAGGGTCTAGAGACGTCCGAGGGTTAAGAAGTGAGAACTTGGGACATCACCTAAGAAGCAGGGACAGAGGGGAGGTCAGAGAGCAGGGCTTTGTCAAAGAGATCGGCGGGGCGTTGGAGGGAAAGCAATAACGACCCTGTGACTAAAAGGGGTGGGCGGGAGTCTGAGGGGTGACGGGAGGTCCTCACCCGCGCCACTCCCAGGCCTGTGAAAGCCCATGATCCGGTTGATGCGCTGTTCCGAGTTCATAAGCAGCTTCCTCCGCCGCAGCTCGGCCCGACGCTGGGAAGCCGACAGGCCTGAGCCCGCTGGAGCCCCCGGCCGGTCCCCGCTGTCAGTCGCTACGGTGACAGACTCCATCTTCCCCTCCACAGGTAGGGAGTGAGGAAGGTGGTGCTGAAGGCAGCACCGGCGGCGCCGAGGACTTCAGGCCAGGCCGCAGAGCGCGAGCCCACCCCTACCCTTAGGCCCGCCCCCACCCCCACCCCCCCGAACGCCAAGCCGGAGAGGCGGGCTAAGCATGCGCGCGGCCCGGCCGGACAAAGCCGAGGCTCGCGCCGCCATCTTGAATGAGGGCAGGGTGGCCTGCCCTAGTTCCTCATGCTCCTGCTAACCCTCAATGTTCAACTCTTCCGTCAACAGGTTTCCCTGCTCTTCGCGAGGAAGTGAAGAAAACCGACACCCAGTCTAACTGGCGGTAGAAGGATACAGATGTGGCATGTATGTAGGGTAGGTCTGTGCCCACAAGCAAAATGGAGATTGCTGCGGCAGGCAGTTGTTTACAGTGACCCTCTACGACCTCGCTTATAAATTGCGGAAATACGTAACTCCAGGAGCGACGCTTTGGAGAGAGTTGTATTTAGGATCTGTTTTGATCTGTTTTGGTGGCTGAGTCTTTCTCCCTAATGGTTTTTTTCCCTAAGTACATACCTACCGTGTTCCAGGCTTAATATTTTCCTTCAAAAGGCTTCCCCAGTGGAGAGTGTCCTGTGCATTCTGTGTAAATTGCCTTCTCAACACTCCATAACGTTCTCCTATCTGCCTTGCTTTTTCTTAACACTTATAACCGATTCGCAAGGTAAAAGTGCTATTTTGTTTATTGTCTTTTTCTCACTAGCTAGAATGTAGGCTCCACGAAGACAAGCATTGTGTGTTGTTCGCTACTGCAACTCCTGGAAAAATGTGAGCACTCAGCAGGGCCCACTTTTCCTTAAAGCAGCGTTGAGGGCCATGATAGTATGAGAAGCCTGAGAAAGTGTTTTAATTTTAGATTATTTTAAAGTCAGAAGAAAAGCGTAATAATAATTAATAATAAAAAATAATTAGTGTATAATAATGAATCCAACCTAGATTATAGTCATCCGTATACCAACACAGTCGTAAAATACAATTTAATAATGCCTTTATGGAGGAAGGAGCCCATGAAAGAAAAATGTGTAGAGCACACAAAAGCCATAACACAGTCCTGCTTTTGCTATGCAGCTTTTAATCATAAAGACGAAGTGAATGAGTAAAGGAATGAAGGAATTGAATCACCCATCAACCCTTGCTGAGAGGGCATTGTGGCCAATTCACACCCGAGGCTGCAGAGAGTGAGACAATCTAGTGGGTACCCTGCAATGAAACCAGAATGAGTCACACTCATAGTCAAAATTAGGAAGCAGGTGAAACCCGCCCTAAACAGAAGATAATGAAATACTGTATTTAACTGTTAGTCACCTCTTCAAAACATAAGAGTTTAAGAAAAAAAGTGTAGGGCCACCTGGGTGGCTCAGTCGGTTAAGCATCTGATCTCTGCTCTGGTCATGATCTCACAGCTTATCACTTTGAACCGTGTATCAGGCGCTGTGCTGAAAGCTCTGAACCTGGAGCCTGCTTTTGATTCTCCCTCTCTCTCTACATCTTGCCTGCTCATACTTTGTCTCTCTCTCTCTCTCTCTCAAAAATAATAAACATTAAAAATTTAAAAAGAAAAAGAAAAAAGTGTAAAAGAATCTAATAGTTTACCTTTTGGATTCAGTAACAGGAGGAGCTGAGGTATAAACATGGACTTTTGGGGTGTCTGGACAGCTGAGTAGGTTAAGCATGGAACTCTTTTTGGTTTTGTTTTTGTTTTTTTTTTTTTGGCTTGGATTGGACAGAGTACAATCCAGGGAAGGTCAGAGAGTGAAGGAGACAGAACCTGAAGGTGGGGCTCACCAATGTGGAGCTCAAACTCACAAACCATGAGATCATGACCTGAGCTGAAGTCCTAAGAGTAATCAACTGAGCCACCCCGGCACCCCAGGATTCTTGATTTTAGCTCAGGTTGTGATCTCATGATTATGGAGAGATTGAGTTCCTGGTTGGGCTCTGTGGTCACTTCACAGAGCCTGCTTGGGATTCTCTCTCTCCCTTGCTGTCTGGCCCTCCCCTGCTGGCATGCATGCTTGAGTGCTCTCTGTCTCTCTCTCTCTTAAAATAAATAAACATTTATTTATTTAGAAACAGGGGCACCCGGGTGGCTCAGTCAGTTGAGCAGCTGGCTTCAGCTCAGGTCATGATCTTGTGGTTCAAGAGTTCGAGCCCCACATTGGGCGCACTGCTGTCAGCGCAGAGCCTGCTTCAGATCCATTTCCCCTTCTCTCTCTGCCCCTCCCCCACTCACACTCTCTCAAAAATAAACATTAAAAAAATAAACCTAAAAAATAAACACAGACGTTCTCCTTTGATTGGATGAAAGCTAAGTCCCAGGGACATGCCCTAGTTAATAATTATTAAGCATTAGAAATGGTTCCCCTGACTTTGTGTACAGACCTACATCTGAGTCCCCAATAGTGTCTTTAAAAAGTTCTAAAACTGAAATAATTAAGTATAATAAATGTGGAGAACTTCATGAAGTATACTTCTGATGAATTGAAACCGAATACAATTCCAGGATAAACCATATCTTTTCCATTTAAGGAAGCCTATAGAAGCCAAATGAAAATTTTGTCTCCTTAGATGCATGATGGCCCCTTTAGTTAGATAAGAATTAGAAGTGTAAAGATATTACAGCAGCCCCTTGCTATCAGTGCAGAGCCTGACATGGGGCTTGAACTCACAAACGTAGAGATGACCTGAATCCAAAACAGGGCACCTGGGTGGCTCTGTCAGTTAAGCTTCTGGCTTCAGTTCAGGTCATGATCTCACAGCTGATGAGTCCCATATTGGGCTCTCTGCTGTCATGGCAGAGCCCCTTTGGATCCTTCTTCCTCTCTCTGAACCTCCTGTCTCATGCTCTCTCTTTCAAGAATTAAATAAGACAAAACATTTAAAAAATTTTTAATGTGTTTTATTTATTTCTGAGAGAGAGAGAGAGAGAGAGAGTGTGAGCAGGGGAGGGTCAGAGAGACAGGGAGACACAGAACCTGAAGCAGGCTCCAGGCTCTCAGCTGTCAGCACAGAGCCCAACGCGGGGCTGGAAACCACGAACCGTGAGATCATGACCTGAGCTGAAGTCGGACGCTTAACTGACTGAGCCACCCAGGCGCCCCAAGAAAAACATTTTTAAATATAATATATTGTCAAATTGTTTCCATACAACACTCAATACTCATCCCAACAAGTGCCCTCCTCAATGCCCACCACCCACTTTCCCCTCTTCCCCAGCCCCTATCAACCCTTACTTTATTGTCTGTATTTAAAAGTCTCTTGTGGTTTGCCTCCCTCCCACTCTGTAACTTTTTTTCCCTTTCCCCTTCCCCATGGTCTTCTGTTAAGTTTCTCAAGATCCACATATGAGTGAAATCATGTGGTATCTGTCTTTCTCTGCCTGACTTATTTCACTCAACATAACACCCTCCAGTCCCATCTACGTTGCTGCAAATGGCCAGATTTCATTCTTTCTCATTGGCATGTAGTATTCCATTGTATATATAAACCACATTTTCTTGATCCATTCATCAGTTGGTGGACATTTAGGCTCTTTCCATATTTCGGCTATTGTTGAAAGTGCTGCTATGAACATTGGGGTACATGTGCCCCATTCATCAGCACTTCTGTATCCCTTGGGTAAATTCCTACCAGTGCTATTGCTGGGTCATAGGGAAGTTCTAGTGTTAATTTTTTGAGGAACCTCCACAGGGGCTGCACCAGTTTGCATTCCCACCAACAGTGCAAGAGGGTTCCCATTCCTCCACATCCTTGCCAGCATCTATAGTCTCCTGATTTGTTCACTTTATCCACTCTGACCGGCGTGAAGTGATATCTCAGTGTGGCTTTGATTTGTATTTCCCTGATGATGAGTGACTTTGAGCATCATTTCATGTGTCTGTTGGCCACCTGGATGTCTTCTTTGGAAAAGTGTCTATTCATGTCTTCCGCTCACTTCTTCACTGGGTTATTTGTTTTTTGGTTGTGCAGTTTGGTGAGTGGAAAACATTTTTAAAAATAAAAAAAAGTTGGACACTTAATGAACTGAGCCACACAGGTGCCCTACATACTTAAGATTCTTATATTAATTTCTATCTCCCTCACTGTGGACTTTACCAGGGCAAATTCATCCTTTAAAACTTTACCACTTTGAGGGCTCTGGGTAGCTTAGTGCATTAAGCGTCTGACTCTTGATTTTTAATTGTTTGTGCATCGGAGCTTCGTATCGGGCTCTGTGCTTTTGGGATTCTGTCTCTCCCTCCCTCTGCCCCGCCCCTCAAATATATAAATTAACTTAAAAAAATTCCCACTTTGCCACAAATCTAGCACTAACAGCACTAGATTAAACTTATGTGAATGTTGCAGACATTTTTCTTTTAGAGGAAGTTATCAAAACATGGCATTTTATTTTTTAATTTTTTAAATCTTTATTTATTTTTGAGAGAGAGAGATGGAGTGTGAGTGGGGAAGGAAAAGAGAGGGAGACACAGAATCCGAAGCAGGCTCCAGGCTCTGAGCTGTAAGCACAGAGCTGGGTGTGGGGCTCGAACTCACGAATGGCGTGTTCATGACCTGAGCCGAAGTCAGATGCTTAACCCGCTGAGCCACCCAGGTGCCCCCAAACATGGCATTTGCAATGAGTCTTATGTATAATTTTTATATGATGCTAATAGTATTGTTTAGGCAGGCTTGTAATAATATTTGATAAAATGTAGATACAGAACTGAAAAGATTGAGTCATTAGTGATAAAACTAGAATTCAGTTTCCAGGAGATAAATTTAGGCAGTAAGTTCCTGCTTGGATTCCTCTCTACTCCACACAGAAAGAGCAGCTAACAATGTCAAGGGAGAAAAACAAATAACTAGACTCAAAAACCAGAGAAACATCTTAGCAGACCAAAACATAGCATTGCAGAGCTCAAGTCAGGGTCCTGTTGGCCTGCAAGTCCACAAGCAGACAATGATAGCACATTCTTTGGGCTAAAAAGCACTGTAAGTGTGCTGCATAACACATAGAGACAAACAGATTAAACTCACTGCTTGAGGTAAGCTCTCCCTCCAAAAA